CTTTTTCTTCCCACAGCTACAGGAGTGTGATGTTGGAGAAACAGAGGAAACTGGTGTCAAGAGTGAAGCTGTCCCCTCCTACAGGTACAGAGTGTAATGGTGGAGAACTAGAGTAACATGGTGTCACTCGGTGAGGCTGTTTCTGTTTATAGCTACAGGAGTGTGATGTAGGAGAACTATATTAACCTGGTGTCACTGGTTGAGGCTGTCCTCTCCCACAGCTACAGAAGTGTGATGCTGGAGAACTACAGGACCCTGGTGTCTGTAGGTGAGGCTGATTCCTCCCACAACTACGGGAGTGTGAAGCTTAGAACTATAGGAACCTGGTGTCACTTGTTGAGGCTGTCCCCTCTTATAGCTACAGGGCTGTAATGGTGTAGAACTACAGGAACTAGGTGTCACTGGGTTAGGCTGTACTATCCCCCAGATACAGGAGTATGATGGTGGCGAACTACAGGAACCTGGTGTTTCTGGGTGAGGCTGTTCCTTCACAGCTTCAGAGTGTGATAGTAAAGAACTACAGAAACCTGGTGTTATGGGTGAGGCTGTCCATTCCTACAGATATATGAGTGTCTTGGTGGAGAACTACAGCATCCTGGTGTCCCTTGGTGAGGCTGTCCCCTCCCACAGATACAGGAGTGTGATGGAGAACTACAGCAACCTGGTGTCACTGGTGAGGCTGTTTCCTCCCATGGCTACAGGGGTGTGATGGTAGAAAACTACAGGTACCTGGTGTCACTGGGTGAGGCTGTCTCATCCCACAGCTACAACGGTGTGATGCTGGAGAACTAGAGGAACTTTGACTCCCTATGTTGCTGAGGCTGGCCTCGAACTTGATCCTCCTGTCTCAGCCTCCTGAATCTCTGGGATTATAGGCAGGTGCTATGTGCCCAGCTCCCCAGCCCTTTAGATTTTTTTGTTTTGTTTTTTTTTGAGACAGGATTTTGCTAAGTTACTGAAAGTGGTCTCAAACTTGACATCCTCCTCCTGCCTCAGCCTGTGGGGAAATGGGGTTATAGTTGTGTATCACCATGCCTGGCCTCCATTTGTATTTTCAAATCTAGAATTTCCATTTGGCGCTTTTTTTTTTTTTAATTTCTGTTCTCTGCTGAGATTTCCTGTTTGGCATTATCATTACAGTCATGTTTTCCTTTACATTCCTTTTTTTTTTTTCCACATGGAAGTTTTCTTTTTTTTAATCCTCTTGTGAAAACTTCATGTAAGTCACTGCAAATAAACTTATTGTAGAATCTTCACACCCTTTGCTCTTCAGCTCACTTCCTTTACATTATTGAGCACACAGAGATGCAACCGCTCTTTTAAAATTCTGTCTACTTGTTGGCAATGTGGCTCAGTGGTGAAGCATTTGTCTAGCATGCATGAGGTTCTGGATTCTATCCCCAGTACTGCAAAAACCAAACTCTTTTTGGCTAAGTCCCACATCTGTGTTATTACAGGATTGATCTGCATTGATTACATTTTATTCTTTGTATGATTCTTTTTCCTCTTTCCTTTGTTTAATAATTTGGGTTTATATTATAGACATTATAAATAAAACATTGTATAGAATGAATTCTGTTCTATTCTTCTGAAGGGTATTGATTGTTTTGTTAAACAAGCAATTAACTGGAGTACACTCCAAATTCTGTCTCTAGGGATCCTTTATAAAAGCACAACATTTTCTAGTGTCTGTATGGTCCATAGTGTCTGATGGTCCATAGTGTCTGATGGTCCATAGTGTCTGATGGTCCATAGGTTCTGGGCTAGATTTCTGCTCCCCAACCCCCAGAGTTTTATTTTTCTAAATCTACTGTTGGCAGTCCTACGGGACTGTTCCAATGTTATGTGGTCTATCTTGTGAATGTGCTTTATCTCTGTATCTAGCCACTCCTGTAATGGCATTGTATCAAAATAAGGAACTGGATTATAGTTGTGGAATAACCCAGAACATGACCGATTTTCATGTGTTCTTGTGTATTCAGGACTTTGCATTTCTAAGCCATATGTAATTTCTGTATTGGAGCTAGGGAAACGGCCTTGGGAGGTGAAGATCAAGATGACGAGAAGCCCCTTCCCAGGTGAGTGTGGGAGCACCAGGTAGGGAAATCCCTTCAGAAAGTGGCTCAGCCATCTGCAGAGGTGGGATCTCCTCACTGGGACTTCTCAGAATTGCTTCTCACACCCCACATGTCTGGGGGAGAGGGAAGCCTGCTGCTGTCAGGTACCCCCAACACAGCCGCTTGCACTTCATTTTCTTCTTATAACTCATTTTGCACAAAACAAAAACAATAAAACCCGTTAAGAACTGGCCTGAGAAGTGGCACACCTAGGTTACTGAAGTAAGAAAACAACTGGAAAAATCCATCATCTGGTTAGGAGAAGATGGCCACAGGATCACCTCTACGTCCCAGAGAAGGTCACAGAGCACCATGTGTGTGGTTGTGAAGGATCTCCACAGATTTTTTTTTAAACGATGTTTTTAGTTGTTGATGGACCTTTATTTTATTTGTTTACTTATATGTGGTGCTGAGAATCGAACCCAGTGCCTCACACATGCCAGGCAGGTGCTACCCTACCAAGCCCCAGCCCCAGCCCCTCTCTAGAGACTCTTGAGCAGCAGTAGTAATAAGACAATATTGATATTTCAACAGAGAAACCTAGTGCATATATGAAAATCAATTGCAAGTGGAAGAGAGTGAGCTTTCTGTAGTCCCCTGGGTCAATGTAGGCATAGAGTGTCATCAGGGCCACTGCAGACTCCTCCTCCAGGATTGCAGGTCTCAAGTCTTAGTCATTTTTTTCCGTATCCTTTTATTTACTCTTGTTCTCTGGAACCTCCTTGCATATTTTCCACTTGAGATGCTGGTATTTAATAGATTTGGGGGCGGGGGTGTTCATGAAATAATTTTGAATTACCTTTCTCGCTGTGTTTCCGTTGCTAATAGCCCGTGATAAAGGAAACCTTTGTTTTGCCCATCTTTCAGAGGTGGAATGTGAGACATAGTGACTGTCTCTGACACAGTCTTTGTGTGATGATGTGTTAGTGGAGAGAACTTCACACTCTGCACTTTGAAAAGGTTGGAAGTGTGAAGACCTTGTTGAGAGGCAGACTCAAGAGACATTTAGCAGGAAAGGATCAGCTCCTCATAAAGAAGCCCACACTGCAGAACCAGGCTACAGATTCACCAGATCTGGGGATTGTGGCCACCTGCCCAATGGAGAAGAAAGCATTTATAATCATAAGTCTGATACAGAAAGCTCCTCCAAACATTCCATGGTATGAAAATACAAGAATGTTCATGCAGAAATGAAAATTTTTAAATGTAATCATGTGAGAAAACTTTCACTCATAGTTCATCTGTGACTGTTCATCAGAGAATTCACACTGGTGGAAAACCCTGTGAATGTGCAGAATGTGGAAAGCCTTCAAGCAGAGTCCCCACCTTGCTCAGCATCACAGAACACACACCCAGGGGAAACTGTTTGAATGTAAAGAATGTAGGAAGGCCTTCAGCCTGAACGCTCACCTTATTATACATCAAAGGATTCACACTGGAGAAAACCGTACAAGGCTAAGGAATGTAGGAAGGCCTCCAGGCAGCCGTCACACCTGGCTCAGCACCGCAGGATCCACACTGGAGAGAAGCTCTACGCATGTAAGGAATATGGAAAAGCCTTCAGAGATAGCTCCTCTTTTGCTCAACATCAGAGATGTCACACTGGCAAACAACCCTACAACTGTATGGAGTGTGGGAAAACCTTCAGGTAAGCATTTCCCTTACTCCGCACTTTAGGCGTTACCATACTGGAGAGAAGCCTTTTGATTGCATGGACTGTGGGAAAGCCTTCAGTGTTCACCTAGGACTTACTCTGCACAGGAGAATCCATACTGGAGAGAAACCCTACAAATGTAATGTGTGTGGGAAACCCTTTTGCAGTGGTTCATCACTGACTGTATATCAGAGAATTCACACAGGAGAGAAGCCTTGTGCATGTGATGTTTGTGGGAAAGCCTTCAGCCATCGCATGGCACTCACTGGACATCAGAGAGTTCATTGTGGAGAGAAACCTCATGAATATAAGAAATGTGGACTTGGACTATAGCTCAAGTGGTAGAGCGCTCGCTTGGCATGTGTGAGGCACTGGGTTCGATCCTCAGCACCATGTTAAAAAAAATAAAATAAAGATATTGTGTCCACCTAAGACTAAAAAATATTTTTTTAAAAAAAGAAATGTGGGAAAGCCTTTAGGCAGAGCATACATCTCGCTGTTCATTTGAGAATTCATGCTGGAGAAAAGCCCTATGAATATCAGGAATGTGGCAAAGCCTCAGCTGCACTGCCCACCTGATCAGGCATAAGGGGGTTCACACTGGAGAGAAGCCCTGTAGATGCACTGAGTGTGGAAAGGCCTTTGGTGATGGCCCAGCCTGTACCAAGCACCAGAGGCACACTGGCCTCACACCGCCAAGGCCCTACGTCTGTGTTCAATGTGGGAAGGCGTTCAGAACAAAGCCATCCGATGACCGTCACCAGATGTCATGTTGGAAAGAAACGTTGAAGGTGTGCCTGTGGCAAAGCCCTCAGCTGTTCTTCAGAGAATTCAGCCTGGAGGGAAAGCAGTGCAGGAAGCGAGGAGCACCTTCAGCCAGACTGGACACCTCCATCTGCGAGGAGGAATCCACCCTGGGGCACTGGTGAACCTAAGGAGTGGGAGCCGTCTCCGACGGAGCGGTGCTGTGCTGTCCTCTGGGGCATGCAGCTCCTCCATGTTCCCCATAGTGTCGAGGCCGCAGACCCATCTGCTGAGCATCTGGGATCATCCACGTCTGGTTCCATTGGCCTGGCCTAGGTGAAGTCCAGTGACTTTGCCTGGACAGATCTGCAGCTGCTGTTGTCCCCTCGGGCCATTCTCCAGGCTGTAGGTAAATGTAAACGTCACCATGTTGCTCTCTTTAAAACCCATTGCTATGGCATTCTAAGTTGTGGTACATGAAGTGCTTGGCATCAGGACTGGCTTTTAATTTAGAATCTTTAAGATGGAGAACACCCTCCAGTGATTAGGAGACATATTTGAACACAGCACACGTGCAGGCCACAGCCCTGGGGTCACAGAACTTGAGGAGACAGGGACCCATGGGCCAGTGCCCCTGCTGGGCCCAGGGTTATCCCCACAGGGATCCTGTGGGAGTCGTGGTTGTGAGGGTTAAAGCAGGCAGGCATGAGTTCCTAGGTCCAGTTGTGTGAGTGGTCAGGCCTGCACAGTCATCCCGGAGGGGAGCTTCACATTTTCCGGCAGATGCTTGGATGATCCAGTTGAAGGAAGTGTCTGCCGGACAGAACTGCTCTGAAGTTCCTGCTGGGGCATCAGCTTGAGCCGTTTGAGTGTGTTGCAGAAGCAGGCTGTGCTGGAGGTGACAGACAGTCACCTTTATTGACAATGCCAAGGTGACAAAGTTACAGGTATGCACCACCCACGCTGCTCGTGCTGACCAGCGTTCTTCAGGAAAATCATTTTCGAACAGGAAACTCTGGAAAGCAATGTCAGCACTAGGTGACCATGACAATTTTGAAACTCGAGAGGTCAAAAGAGATCAGGTGCGTTGGCTGGTCTGAGGGTAGGCACGATTTTGAAAGTCTAGATGTCTCCAGATGATGATGATTGGCATGTGTATCAGCTCTGCCATTCACCATGACAACACGGGCTTCGTGGCTCCTCTCAGGCCGCGTTCCCTTACTGATGGACGAGTGCCAGCGCACACAGAACTCGTGTTAGTAAGTGGCTAGAGCTCTGGGTAGGCTGGAACAAGAGAATCAGCATTCTGGGGGAGGAACTTACGCATGAGTATACGTAGTCAGGGCAAAAATTAAACATCACTAATGTTTGGAGAAACACAGAACCTGAGTAGTCCAGCCCTATTTTGAGACCCGAGTTCAACATTCTAACTTCTAGGGAACCACTAAGCTGTTTAGAATATAGAAAAAAGATTGAAAGGTTCCACTTCTTTCATGAGGCTAAGCCAAATCCCGTTACCAAACCAAGGGAAAAAATGAAATATCAGATGAATTTCATGGTAACTTTTTGTCACTGTGGCCAGAACACCTGACACTAACAACTGGAGGACTCAGTCCACGGTCCTCGGGCTCCAAGGCAGAAACCCCAGGGTGGGCAGCTGGGAGGCAGAGAGGGAGGGGCTGGAGGGAGGGGCGAGCTGTCCAGGGCACAGTCCAGCCAGGTCCCACCTCGAGGTATGCATTCAGCTCTGGGTCAACTGTGCCATCAGATCAGTGTCCGGGTCCTCATGGTCTAGTCAGTGCGTGAAAGGCCCGCCTCTGAGCCTTCCTGCTTTGCATCATGGGACGTGTGTAACAGGCATACGCGACACAGACACATATGTACACACACAGCTTAACAGCCCGGAAACAGCCAAGGCGAGCTGCCCAAACACCCACTAGGGTGACCACCTGGTGTTCCACTCCCTGGGGCTGCATTCGCATTAGAGACTAGAAATCCTTTTCCCAAAGTGATGCCTGTCCCCAGCATTCCCAGTGCTCTGTGCTTTGTGAAGGTGCTGGTGTTCCCCACCTCCAAGGTTCACAGAAAGGGGCCTGGCTGTGGGCTCTGGGCGAGGCCACAGAGCGAGAGGAACCCTGGCAGAAAGGAGCAAGGTCAGCATGCCAAGCTCTCCGGGCCCTTCCTGAGTACAGGAAGGTCAAGCGCTGGACTTCACTTAGGATAGGCTGGGCCTCCACAGAGGGACATTCATCTGCACCAATAAGCAGATCACATGTGCACCTCCTGAGGTGCACACTTGTAAATAAGTCCAGCCCAGTTAAAAGCTGTTCCAACCTATGAGGTCAAGTGCTGTTGAACCTACTTGGAGCTGGGAGCCAGGCGCCAAGGCACACAAATGTAATCCTGTGGCTCCAGAGGCTGAGACAGGAGGATTTTTAGTTCAAAGCCAGTCTCAGCCACAGTGAAGCACTGAGCAACTCAGTGAGACCCTGTCTCTAAATAAAATATAAAATAGGGCTAGGGATGTGGTCAGTGGTTGAGTGCCCCTGGGTTCAATCCCCGGTACCCCGCCCCAAAAATAAAAAATCTTTTTGGAGACTATGTCCTGCATTCTGATGTAAGTGTTGCCAGACTTTTGGAGTCTTATCCCTTCCTTCCTGTTTTGTTTTAGTACTAAACAGAGACTGGCCCCAGGAACGCTGTACCACAGAACCACTGAGCTCTGATCTTCCCTAGCCAGCACCCCCCCAGCCCTTTGCTACTGGAGATTCAACCCAGGAGTACTCTACCTCTGAGCACTTAGCTACCCCTTTTAGTTTTATTTCGACAGTCTTGCAGAGGTGGCCAAGCTGGCCTCAAACCTGCAATTCTGTGTCAGCCTCCGAGTCGCTGGGAGTGCAGGCCTGTTCCATGGTGCCGGCTCCTTCCCTAAGGTTTTGTATCAGCCTATTAGAGGACGGGTCCAAGGAGGCAATGGGACCTCAACTTAGCCCTGGGTATGTTTGTGACTTATGCCACTGAAAAAATTGCAGGAAGTGTTGGAAATAAGACATAAGCAAAGATTTAAGGACAGCAAAGCTGTACCCACCGCAGAGGAAGAGCTGCGGGTGCTGGTGATACACCTAAGACAGGCATGCACAGCCTTCCCCTTGGGGAGCCGCGGGAAACCTTCACTGGCTTGTCTGGACTGCTAGTAGGAGAGGTGACTTGCTGTGATTACTAATAACTGTCTGTCAAGGAAGTCAGTAGCTGCTGCTGATATTTCACCTTGTTTAAAAGCACATCAGGTAGGAGGCCTCAGACCAGGTACCTCTGATGGCTCCAGACTGCCTGTCACCCTGCTCTCAGACCTGGGTGTGGGACCAGCACCTGGTACCCCTGAAGAATACCTTCCTTAACACCACTGACCTTTCTAACCAGATCCCCCAAAGAATTGCAGCCAAGTTAAGTGCATACTGAAGGAAGGGAACGGGGTGTAGACTTCTGATGCAGCAACCCAAGGTTGTGTGCACTTTCAGCCCAAGTCTAGAACGTGTGGGCTGCTGTTGGGAAGGTGGAACTGGGCTGTTTCAGTTTCGTGTTGTCCTTGCTTATTTCCTGCCTACTGGAAGGAATTTCATTAAACCTGAATTTTGGGGGGGCAGAAATATTTGTCAGTATGTTGAATCTGACAATTTACAAAGTATTTCCATCTACTTGACTTGTCAGCATTTTAGTCCTCAGCATACACGTTTTGTTTGATTTACACTTAGGTGATACCGGTGTCTATTTTTTGCTTTCAATTGGACCTGGTATTGTATTTTTTATTTTGGTTTCTAAATGTTCATTCCTTGAGGCACTTCCATTTCCCAGTCTTTTTTCATGTGGTTCAGATTGGATAATTTCAACTGATCTCTCTTTAAATTCCCAAAATCGTTTTAAAAAATATTTATGTACTTGTAGATAAAAACACAGTAGCTTTATTTTTGTGTGGTGCTGAGGCTCGAACCCAGTGCCTCACACGTGCAAGGCAAGCGCTTTACCACTGAGCTCCAGCCCCAGCTCCCCCCAGAATCTCCTTTTATGTCCATCCTGCTTTTAGGCCATGTGAATTCACACACACACACACACACACACACACTCGCACTGAGGATTGAACCCAAGGGTGCTTAACCGCTGAGCCACAACCCCCAGTCCTTTTTAATTTGAGGCAGGACCTTGTACCTGTGATACTCCTGCCTCAGCTTCCAGAGTCAGTGGGATCAGAGGTGTGCCCCGGCGTGTGGGCAAGCCCAGCGAAATTCTAACATGCTGTATATTCCAGTTTAAACACATTCTTTTGATGAAGTACAATTTGTCACTGTATTGCCTTTCAGGAAAGCTCATAAACGTGTGACCAAAGTGAGACTGATGGGCTGAAGCCTTTTGCCATTCTCCAATTATAGTAGGTGCCGTGTATATCTTTGTTTTTTTCGTATGTGTTTATCTTTGTTTTATTTATTTTATGTGGTGCTGAGGCTCGAACCCAGTTCCTCACCCATGCAAGGCAAGTGCTCAACCACTGAGCTACAACCCCAGCCCCAAAATGCTTTTTCTAGTAGAAGACACAGTCTGTGTTCTGCTGCCCACCTGCAGAAGTGCCCGCGGCGCTGTAATCCCAGTCTGACTTTCCCCTGGCACTCCCTCAGTACATTCTCCTGGTTGTCCGCCTGGTCTCCACTCACCCCTTTGTCTTTCCTAGCAAAGCTCACCTTGTACTGGGGATCTCTTTACCCCCAGATTCACGGGACAGGAGACTGTCATGGGCTTAGTCTTATTCTGAACACTGGTACCGGCCCAGGTGGGGTTGTGCCGTGTTGGCAGAGTGGGCCAAGGAAGGGTTGACATCTCCTGATGAAGTTAAAGTCCACATAAAACGAAATCCCCGCAGAAAGAAGACCCCAACCTGGGAAGTTGTACAAAATCCATATTTTCCTTAGGTTGACTTGAGCGAAATTCATTGGACTAAAAATCACATCCCAAATGAGGGGCATGGCCGTGCCGGGCCTGGGGATTGTCGCAGGCCGCTCAGTGGAAAGGCCCCTGGGTTCCGCTGGGCCGGCGCTGGCCTGGCGGGGAGGTAGGGCACAGCACGCTTGCGGGGGGACACTGGAGCGCGGGGTCGGCGCTGTCCGGGAGGCCCTAGGGCGTGGAGGGGCGCCGACCCTGTCTTCCCGAGCACGCGGACAGACCCCCTCCCGCCCCACCAGGCTGAGATGTTAGTCGCTCTGAGTCCATCCCTGAGGCCACAGGCTGAGGAAACTGGGACCGGCGTCAATTAAAACGAACTTAAAGTCAGCACGAAGGTGCAGGCGAAGCTTCTAGCTGGAGGACCAGCGGGAGGACGGCTCCGCCTCCCGGTGAGGGACAGCTCTGGAGGCTCGGAACTGCCCGCGGGAAGGCGGGAAGGCGGGAAGGCGAGCCCAGCCGGCTGCTCGGCTGCCGCGGTCTTTGAGTTGGGTCCTGGGGAAGGCGCCTGTCTCTGCGCAGGCCCGACACCGTCCACGGTGAGCAGGGCTGGCAGGGGCACACTGCCCTCGCGGGAATGGGAGTAGGAAAGCCGCTGGCACCAGGCTGGGACAAGGCCCCAGGGGCTGTGGCCACTCTGTCCGCTACTGGTTCCCGTGTCCAACCGGGTCGGGCCTGGGGCGGACGGGCGAGCGCAGCCCCACTAGGGACGGGAGCTGCAGGTCCGCGGCTGCACGTGCGAAGGGAGTCCACCTCCGCCCGCGCTGGGCGGACTGCCGGGCTGTCTCCACGCACCTCCATCGGGCCAGGGCCCCGAAGGGATCCAGGACGCGGGCAGCCTCGGGCGGCACGTGGAAGACCAGGAGGAGCCCGAAGGGCGGCCGGGAGCACTATCCCCACGCCGCCGCGCCCGCATCTTTCGGTGGTCAAGGCCAGCGCGGGTCCCATCTGCACGTCTAGGGCAGCTCGAGGGTGGAGGGGGCCTGGGAGGCCACGCCCCTCCTGGAG